ATAAAGCCATATTATAACATCGACTGAGATAAAGAAAAAAATGAAATATTAAAAACATGATGTATCTCGCTGCATTGCGCGAGTACGCTTCTAGTATTATAATTATATTTGTAGACCATTTCTTTTTGTTTGTTTTAATAGGATGGAAAATAGTTACTTGTATTTGTTTTATCATATCACCACCCCCATGGTCTTGATATCATAAACACAAGATTTGAATCGAGTAAAAACCTCTTCTCGCTATCTTCCCCTAAATCAAGCACTCATCTTTCCCAATTCCCAACCTTTCCTTTTTTCTTGTTGAAATCTCTTCAACAACACCCATTTCAAAAACTCCCATCTTCATCAATAATTGGTTCATAAATTCTTTGCCGTCATGGGTCATAAGCATTTACATGAGTTGTTAAGTGAAGATCAAGAACCATTTCAGCTCAAGAATTACATCGCCGACCGCCGTTGTCAGCTGAAATCAGCCACACCATATTCCGCCGGAGAAACCGCACTTAAACCAAGGAAACGAAAACCTTTAATCCAATCCACCTCTGCTTCCACCACTGCTCGTAATTTCTGCATCAATCATGTCTGTTTATTCTCTTTCCATGATTCACCCGACGTTAGGAGATCCCCGTTTCTTGAGTTCCCCTCGCCGGCGATTAAGAGCCCATATAATAATAATGGTAAAACTCCCAACAACGCCACCGTCTTCCTCCATATTCCGTCCAGAACCGCCGCCATGCTACTCGATGCCGCCATTAGGATCCAGAAGCAAAAACAACCTACTCATAAACACAAACCCAAATACGAGTCATCCAGGAATGCAGGGTTCGGGCTTTTCGGATCTCTTTTCAAGAGGTTGAAGGATCGGAGAACCCGAATAAAACACCGTGAAATCAGCCTATCCTCACCGCCGACTAGCAGAAATCTGAAAAGGGACTCCGATTTGGATGTTGCCGGTAATAATAGCAGGCTTACTAGTCCAGATTGGTCGGAAAAGTTGTCGGATTTGGAGACTTCTTGTAGCTCGTGGTCAGTTCATGATGAATTTATGAGTGAAAACTGCTTCTGCTCAAGCCCTTTCCGTTTTTCTCTTGAGAGAAGTCCTTCCTCCGGCCACCGGACGCCGGATTTCGTATCGCCGGAAACAACTCCGACTCACCATCTGCAACAGGTTTGTCTTTATACCATTTTTATCTATGTTTCACTGCTTCACTACAGTTGTTATTTGTTAAATGACCGAGTTTAGGCCAACTAGTGCTGATTAACTCGTTAACTCAGTTGAGGATCTTGCTGTTTCCTTGTTTCCTATGGCAGAAAAGACGGGAACACCCATGTTTGATCTAGGGATAATGAATTGAATGGGGGCGTTTATGTCATTTGTTATATGTACACTGCCACAAAATCTTCACTCAAATACAAATCCTGTCTAAATTTTTTTACTAAAATTCCCAAAAAGGACAAAACAAAAATTTGGCTTTACATTTAGGTCCATGACCATCCATATTGATAAATCCAAACCTCCTTTAATCACATGGTCAAGAAAAGTCAACAGTCAAATTTCAAGATTCACCAAGCATAGGTTGAGGAATTCCAAGAATACCCTTAAAATATGAAAAGTTTTACAATTTGGTTGCTGTTTGTAGGAGACATGTCAAGAGATTCATTTAGAAGAGGAGGATAAGGAACAATGCAGCCCGGTATCGGTGTTGGATCCTCTTTACGAGGAAGACGAGGAAGAACACGATGGCGTGGCCATGGAGGAGGACGGATACGATATCGAATGCAGCTTCGCAAATGTACAAAGTAGGTCAAAATTTCAATTTACTGGTATTTACAAGCCATTATAAGCATTTAAGTTTTGGTTCTTAATTAATCTTAATTTTTCAATAATACAGCTTATAAAACATTATTTATAAATTATTAATTCATATAAAAATCTTTAAGTTCTAAAATATTCTTATTTTGCTCTTCTTTGAATCTTAAAAGGAGAGTTTTTTAAAACTAAATAAACAACATATATTCAAAAATCTCATCTCATGATCCATTTAAAAAAAACACTAAATTTAAAACAATTCAATTACATGTATACTTCTAGTCCTAACAGAAATTCGTGATTTTCACGAGTTGATAAATGTAAAATGGTAAAAAAAAAAACAAATGTCATGGTCGGAAATCGGGTCGTTTGTGTTTTTTAGATAAGCAATAAGCTAGATTCTTGAAAACTACTTCGATTAGTGTTTTAACAAAATGTCAAGGTTCAATAATATATATATATATATATATATATATATATAATTTGTCACTTACACCTAATCTAAGTGATGGCCATGCAAAATTATTTGTGGGATCCATGCAATGATCATAGATACTGCTCCCTTTGATTAATTTGTGCATGTTTCTTTCATACTTGTGTATTATATATTTATATTGATGTCAGTCTGTCCTCACAATTGTACCAAGCCATGGCTTATTGGCTTGTAAATCATGCATTGGAGGTGGTACATTTCTATATAGCTAAAGTTTACCCCTTACATGGGTCTATCTTTTTTCCTTAAATACAGTGGAACCCATTGAAATCCTGATCTCCAAGATCTATCCTGTCTGTTCTTAATTTGAATTCACAACATGACATAATAAGTTTTCTAGGTCCCACATATATATATATATATATATATATATGCCAATGGGACTTCAATATTATAGGATTAAGAAGGCATCCTATCAAAAGATTTACAGTAAGTTGTTTTGTAAGAATTTTACAATTCCTAACAAGTTTTATCGATTAAGTTTGATAACATGATAGGACATCCTTTTTAAAAGTGTTTTATATATATATATATATATATATATATATATATGTTAGGTCGTGCAAATTCGTTGATAAACTTGTTAGATCATCTAACTTTACTAGAATACCTTTTAGTATAAATTTGAAGTCCATTAAATACTCTTATTAGGTGGCTTAATGAAAGTGAGTTGTCCTAAAAGAACAATTTACTATGTGCACAATTACAAACATGTTTCTTATGACCAAAATCTTTCTTGTAGGAGCAAAACATCAACTTTTGCAAAAGCTGCACCGATTCGAGAAGCTTGCGAAGTTGGATCCAATTGAACTTGAAAAACACATGTTAGAACAATATTGTCAAGAAGAAGACTCAAGCAACGAGATGGTCTTACGTGATATCTTCAATGTTTTAGGTGGCGGAAAAGTCCCGACACATGTGAAAAGGATCGTTTCGGACCTTGTTGCAGAAGAAAACAAGAACGAAGAAGAACGTGGAGTGGTGGTGAGACGGGTTCTTAGCAGATTGGAATCGTGGGAAATGGTTGAATCGAACACGATCGATATGATGGTGGAATTAGAATTTAGAAAAGAGAAAGGTGAAGGGTGGAGGAGGTATGATGAAGTGAAGATCAAAGAGATTGGAATGGAGATAGAAGTCGCCATTTTTGGTGGTTTTGTGGAGGAATTAACTCAAGAACTTCTGATAGTTTCTGGAGATTAATGGGTTTTAAATCTCTACTCAATTTTGGTCTATTTTTATTCATTTTACTTGTTATTTTGTGGTAACATTATAACAAAATCGGATTTATTAAACGCTAAAACTATCTAAACATTTTAATAATCTGCTTTATAGGATTTAAGTTTATAGGATCAAACATTTATACGTGCTCTATAAAAATGGTATAATAAGTTTATATGATGTTTGTGAATGTCTTACCAAATATTTTAGGACAATTTAAAAAAAATGTTCTATGTAATAGAGCAAGAAAGCTAAATATTTTGTATAACATTCTCTTTGATTCATACGTTAACAATAAATGTTTCAGAAACAATATGGTATATATGTTGTTGCTCCACTACACTTTATACCAAGTAACAAACCTGTTTGTCGAGTAATGAATAACACATAAAAGTGTTGCTCCACTACACTTCATACCAAGTAACAAACCTGTTTGTCTAAGTAATGACTAACACATAAAAGTGTTTGTAGAGGGGGGTTGAATATATATATACAACAAATTTTCACTTTTTATTCAATACGTTTATAGAAAAAGAATTACAAATTTGTTGCAAAAGCTAGAGGGGTAAGATCTTATGATAAACAATCTAGCTGGTGAAAAGTTTGCTCACAAAGGAGAAACCGAGAAAGTAGAATAAGGTACCATTTCAGATATGAGATAGTCTTAAGATACTGACACCGATTTGCTTAAGAAACTATGACTCAAAATTTCTATCAGAACGAGTGAGTTGCAACATTGTCAAATGTCGCCTTTTTATAACCAACAATACATTAAATGCTGCTTTCCAAATTAATGTATGGTTCATTTGATTTATTGATGAGTACACGCTTATACTCTTCATTTAAGCTTTTGAATATCTTAAAGATATGATGTAGACGTTTATTACCATAACCTATCTCATTCTGTATGCAGAAGGAACAATAAAGGAAGTATGATACTATTAAAAATACTACTTTTGAACTTACTTTGACTGACATGTTGAGCATGTACCCATACCAGGACATGAGTTGGCACTACAACAAAAAGGGATTTGAAATAACTCATTGTAATAATATACCTTAGCCTCTTCTTTGTTCCAATTATCGATAAGGTTCATTAATTGATCCGGACGAACTCTCTTAGGCTTAGACTTTATTTGATCTTGAAGTGATAGAGATGGATCATAGTAATATTTCTTTGTCTTGCCCTCCAATTTCTCACCTTCTTTGCAAATGATTTTAAAATCCAATCACCGGATCCCGGTGGAAGATCAAATTTTGTCTAACAAACAAGAAAAGGTTAGATAATAATAACATGATATATCAAATTTACGTCAAGTATACCTCTATAAAGTTTATTAACATTCCTTTCTTAGTTGTGCTAACTTGATGCCATGAAATATCGATTGAACAATACTTTCCATTTCTTGCCAAAGATCCCATGAAATGACTCAAACTATTAGTAGTTTCCTTGTCAACTGGTTGGCCATATTCATTGAACAAAACTCGAATACGATCTCCTTCTTCTCGAGCCCAAATACTTGGCATATATGTTGGCCCTCTAACTCTTCTGTGTGAGCTTCCATCAACAACTAAAATAAGAAAAGTGGATAATTTTTTAAATTTATCATTGAAAAATAGTTATACTAGTCCCCAAAAGATGACACATATCTACTTACACATCACATATACCTGGATCATCAATAAAATGGTTGGAGTCCATGTTAATTGTGTCTTCTTGAACTTGTTGACTACAATTCCCATGAGCCAAATTTACTCCGTTGTTCATCCTTAAAGACATTTCTAGCAAAAATACAAAGATAAATAATAAATTGAACACAAAAATCACAATGTAAAGTAAATAATTAGTTTCTTACACATAATAACCAAATCATGACAAGGCATCAAATATCTTCGTCTCCATCTAAAATTGGGATATCTTTATCAACAATAATTCCACTAACACCTTCTCTAGTCAAATCAATGTCCATATTTTCATCGACTTGAGGACGACTAAAGGCTTCACTTTGCAAGTATGTATCAACATGATCAAGACATGGTTGTTCATTCATGTCATAAAAATCTCTAGCTGTTGTCTTGAACATAACTTGCCACTCTTTGTCAACAGGGTCCGCCACGTAGAACACTTATTGAGCTTGACAAACTAGTATCAAAGGCTCATTATGAGGCTTCAAGCCTTTAAAATTAAGTAGAGTAAACTCATTCTCATCTTCCGTTTTCCCCTTACCGGTTGAGATCCAATCACAATCAAACAACACTACTTTTTTGTCAATCGAATACTCTAACTCAATAATATCTCTCAAGACCCCATAGTAGGTTACATCTCCGATAATAGATTGTTATCTCTAACGCTCGAGAAGCTATTTGTCCTCGCATCAACCACAACTCCACTATTTTATGTTTTTCTTTTCTGCTCAAGTTCTTGCGTGTGAAATCTAAAATCATTTATAATAAATCCCTTGTATTTTTTTACAACCTCAATAGGCCACCTGCCAAGGCCCTTAGTTCCCCTGTGATTCTTTGATCCCCTAAAGTATGCAATTCCTCAACCTGAGTATGAGTACATAAAATATTATAATTTAAAAAGCACTTGGCATAAATTAAAAAATGTAATATGATAATTTAATTTAATCATTAATTACATGATTTTGGAACCATAATGCAAAAGTTTTACATGAATACGTTGCAATTCATGCACACGTAATCGTCGATTTTGATCGTGAACATTACTTAGATGTTCATTGTATAATTATATAGTGTTAAAAGACTCAAGCACTAATTGTACTAAAATTCATGATATATAATTTTTGACTTACATGATGAATTCATCAGCTTTGTTGCAATTAAACAACACATATGAGTGTGCTTTAGCCAAAGTTTCAAGGTCCAGTGTTTATGTCTCTACAGCTCCCACTGAACGACCCAACATTGAGAAGAGAGGTAAAACACCCCGACAACCACCATCATCATAATTTCGACTTGTCCTATTATGTCTACACCCAATATCATCATATAAGTACAATGGACATAAGAAAAGACACTCTTCAGCTAGATATCCTTTTGCAATCGAACCCTCGGCTTTACTTCTATTTCGAACATAAGATTTCAATGTGGACAAATACCTAAAAATTCATAAAATGAAAAAGTTAAAAAATAATAATTATACTTGTATCGGTAATATTAATAAAAATTAAAAAAATACATACCTCTTGATGGGATACATCCAATGGTAATGAACTGGACCGCCTATTTTGGCCTCTGACGCAAGGTGAACTGAAAGATGAACCATGACATCAAAGAACGATGGTGGGAAAATCCTCTCTAGATTGCAAAGAGTTTTTCCGATCTCGTTTTCTAGTTCAACCAAATCTTGATGTCTAAGAACTTTTGAGTATAACTGTCTATAGTAACGCCATAATTTCATCAAAGGAAAACGAACATGCTTAGGTAAAACTTTTCGCAAGGCGCGTGAAAGCAACTACTGCATCAAAATATGATTATCATGACTTTTAAACCCAAGTATTTTTGGAGGTTTTACTTGCACGCATCTTGATAGTTAGATGCATATCCATCCGCCACTTTCATCTTTTTTAAGACATTACAGAATATTTCCTTCTCCTTCTTATCCATTAAAAAACAAGCTGGAGGCAGGTATACTTTATCGTTATCGTAAGTTAGGATGAAGTTCAGGTCTAATACCCATTTCTTGTAAATAAAGACCTGCCTTTATATGATCTTTAGTCTTTCCATCCAAATTCATCAAGGTGCTAATCACACTATCACAAACAATCTTTTCGATATGTATCACATCAAGATTGTGATAAAGCAAATTGTCTTTCCATTATGGTAACTGAAATAAAATACTTCTCTTCTTCCCGTTAAATGGAAGATTTGGATTATCCTTCACCAGTTTCCCAAATTATATAGTACCATGGTAATCTAAACTTGCGGTTTAAGTTTGCATTACAAATTCAGCTTTCTAAAAACAATATTGTCAAACTGTTTTTGACTTTATCTGGTACGGTTTTCAATCAACTATATGATAATCCAATCCACTTTGGTGTCGACCTTGACTTCATTTCAACAAGTTTCCAAATTTGCTGAAGACATTTTACTTTGGACCAATACTACTAATAATAAGACTTTTACAAAAAAAAATCTTATTCTAATATATATTTCGGATCCCACAAGATTACACTATATTAAATCCTAAAATACTAGGATCAGAAATAGAATATGGATCCTAGAAATGAACCGAATCAACACACATGACGGATCCTTGATTTGCTAGGTTCCCTTAAGATTAAAATTCGATATATATCGGAATCCATTATGTAATTTGGATCTTAGAGCTTTTCGGATCCTGATATATATTAGATCCTATCCGATGTTAATCAATTGGATTTTTGACACAATCCTAGAACATTTCTATGTGTTCTATCGGATGTATTTGTTTATTCATGAAATAAAGTTTTTGAGACCAACAAAAACTTGATAGAAAAAAGAAAACATTGGGTGAAGGAAAGAGCACCACATATACATATGACATATAATAGACATTTCACTTTTTTGTTACTCCCCTGATTTGGTGTATAAATTATTGCCTTATTAAAATATTACGCCAAGGAACAAGACTTGGTAGAAAAAACAAAACCGTGGATGAAGGAAATAGCACAACTCATCCATATTATATGTGTCGTAGACACCTTATTTGGTCTTTTAATCCCCCTGGTTCGTACATTAATCAATAGAGTTTGAATAGTCTCGACACTCCTATATATTATACATGTTCATCAAATGTAGCTCTAGTAAGGATTTGGTAAATAAATATTCCACATTGTCCTCACATCTTACTTGATTGGCATGAATCTTAAGAAGAGTCTTTTATTACTAATTATATATATATATAATTAAACAATTTCATGAAAAAATTTCATAAGATTAAACAATGAAATCGACAGATGAAGGTGGTTTGCACGGTTTACACAAATGAAGGCGGTTTTCATATGATCACTCCTCTCTCTCTCTCTCTCTCTATATATATATATATATAAATATATATATTTGTGAAATATGTTTTGTATTATGACCATTGATGTATCCTATATATATATAAATATATATTTGTGAAATATGTTTTGTATTATGACCGTTGATGTATCCTACTTTCATTTATTCGATAAAGCTACATTATTTCCATATATTTATGTAGAACTTTTAGTGGTTAAACTCAAACCACTCATTCCTTTAACATGTGTAATGATAGTCCTTAACCATATACGCTCTTGAATTGTCTTACGTAGAACAATAAATCTCAGGTTGGTTTCAAGAAGTAGCTACAAGCATTTGCTTGGTAATCACCGTGTTCCCAGTGGTAAATTCTTATCCAGTTTGGACCAACATCTGTATGAGTCAGAGAGGTACATCTTGTCAGCAAAAAACCTGGGCGTTAATGAAATCTTTTACAAGAACTTTCACTAAATTCCTAACGAATAGTGAAATTATCAACTAATCAGAATGAAGGGCTAATACTTTTGCCACTATCATCCTCTCTAGGTATTCAAGTTTCATTATCAATTCCATTTTTTTCTCTGTAAGAAAATAATAAACCCAAGTTAATGGTTCATCTTAGATATCTAGAGATATTCTTGATATCGTTCCAATGACATTGTGTTGGTGCTGAACTAAATCTAGCTGTTAACTTCACTATGAATGTAATATCCTCTCGAATTTGATATGTTAAGTACAATAATGTGCATAGTGTAATTAGATAGGGAATTCCATATCCCAACACTTCTTCATCATCATTATTTGGACGGAACAAATACTTCCTTATATCCAAAACTTCGACTGATCATGGGAGTGCTAGTCGAACGTTGTGCTCTTATTTGATCACCTGACCATTTTTCGAACATACACAAACCGATGGATAAGGATTCCACAAACTCGATGTTCTAGTTCAATACCTATACAAAACAGATTTTTCCCAAGATCTTCCATCTCATATTTAAATTTCAAGTAGCTTGTGGTTTTTCTTATTTCATCAAGAGTGCCTATTATGTTCATATAATCGACGTATATAGCTACAGTTGAAAATGGAGAACTCGTTTTCTTTATAAAAACGTGATAAATGCATAATTTATCATATTTTAATCACTTTTTTTAATTTTAATATTTCTATTTATTTTAGTTTTCCAACCTCAATAATTGAGTCTTTTATTCTTTCTTATAACTTTATTGAGTCTGAAGCTAAGTAGGAGAAATTGATTCTGTTTTATTCTTTAGATTGAAAGATTGGTAATATTTTGATGGTGCTACAACACGAATGGCGTAGTAAAGGTGCTACAGTTCATGAAATCATCATAAAATTTTTAAGAAATCGATTCCATTTGATGATATCCACTCCAATCTGTTGAAATATAAAGCATCTTTTGAAGAATATTGTTGATGGAGTTGGTTCACTAGCCTTTGTTAAGAAATGAATTTTTTGTACTTAGTTGACTTTATGTGTGTTACCCACTAGCTAAAGAAACATGTGACTTGTACTTTTATTTGTTGTCATGTGCTCTTCTCTTTGTATAAATATGAGAGTACTTCCTTAATATTTGTAGGCAAGACTAATAGCCCATGTAGCTATTTAGTTAGTTACTATCACCTTTTAGTATTAAGTTTGAAGCTTTTGGTACTTTATTAGACAATGCTACAATATCTATTTTACATTCTAACATAACTTTATTATATTCAGTCTTTTCGATTATGTCTTCCATTACTTTTCAAACAATATTGGGCTAAATACCTAACTTGGGCGTGAGTGAAGGATTGGTAGATAAAGACCTATGTGTTAGCGGATAATTGCTTTCGCTAATAGCTATCAACTCCACTATTCATTCTTTATTGCTAAGTTTCAACCAAATAATTCTTAACAAATTGACACGTATTGTTTCATTCGGATGAGTTGGACCCAAATGTAAGCCAAAACAACTTTTTAGACCACCAAGTGCTATATATGTCTATAAAGAGCTACGTCAACCTTAATGAGTTGCAAACTATATGGAAAGAAGTGTAAGGCCTGTATTGTGCTTAGATTTTGGTTCCTTTGAGCACTGCTAGCAAAAGGTTTGACCTGAACCTCGAAAGAGGCTGTTCAATCCACTAAGCTTAGTTAATTTCTAATACGACCTGTTTACATCAACTAGAACATTAATGTATATTCAAATTGATTGATGACCTATTTAGACCCATCATGACCCACTTAGACTAGTTGGTGAGAATAATACTCATTATGCCCATTTCGACCACAACAACCAATTAACGAGCCATTAAGAACCACCATGACCCGTTATACCTCAATTAGACCTATTAAGATCTATTAGAACTACTTATGATCCATTTAGACACATTATGACCCACTTAGACTCGTCAAGAACAATAAGACCCATTATACTTATTTAGACCACAACAACCTATTAATGAACGAACAAGATCCATTGTCGTAGCATACTCATACCCATTGTTACTATCCAATAAAACTTGTTAATTGAGGCATTCAATTTAAGGGTATGTATGGGTGACTTGGAACTGGATCGAAACAAAAAGAAACATAAAAATCAATATGAACTAGTTAAGCATGTAATAGGTTAGAATTTGCTCGATTAGTGAACTAGGCCGTTAACTAGCATACATATTTGAGGTTAACTTGCATCCAAGATTAAATGCTTAAAAACATATGATTAAATGCATCTAAGATTATATGTTTTTTTTTTCAAAAAATACATACATCTTTAGAAGAATTTTTGACGAAATCGTTAAAATCTGTCGAAAAATATGTAATTTATAATTATTTAAGATAATATAAAGTTATTTTCAAATTTTAGACAAATTTCAACGAAATCTTCAAAATCCTTTGAAAATATGTCGAAAAATACATAATTTATACTTATTTAAGATTATATATATAAATATATATATATATATATATATATATATACACACATTTGAGGGAAAATATAAATTCATTAATGCTACAGAAGAATTACAAATAGATTTAAGAACATCAAGAAGCCAACTTGGAGAATCAACAGTTATTGTAGGTGAAGTGTCATGTTGGATCATAAAGGATGGACGAGTTTGCAACAACTGAAAATGTCGTTTCATAATAGTTCCAAATTCCGTATTATCATGCTCATCTTTTTGTGCCGTTACGATGGCCACCAGAGAGTTGGACTCGAAGATCACTTGATTATAATACACCATATATTCCACCTAAGATATGGATTCAAATAGAGCTAGAGCTTTACATTCCTTTACTTCGGGGCACCCATTGATCGGAACCATTTTATATGCCATTAATGCGCCATTTCCATTCCTCAACGCAATCCATAATCCCATGCTTCCATTTTCTTGAAAAATCTCAGCATCGTAATTGCATTTTAGAAAGGGTGTCGATGAAGGGTGGCATTTTTCACCATACCGCGGATGTTTCCTTCACCGTTTGTGTCTCTTGCTCCTTCTTTGCTCTATCCCAGTCTAAGTTTTGTAAATCGAGCCGGGTAATCAGGTCCGACGGTCTTGGAAGTTTTTTCCACACCCTCTAATTACGTTCCCTCCAAATACTCCAGAGAATAGCTACAATCTTGCTTCCAATTTGGTCCGTCGTGTTTCCAAGTACTTGAAATAACTAGTCCATGAAAGATGTAGCATTCGATGCGGTATTATAGACCATCGCACTTAAGCTCATTCATTGCCAACAATTTTACTCAAATTCACACCTGATAAATATATGCCATACATCTTCACTTCCTCTTGTACAAAGACTGCACCTTTCAAGTATTTCAATTTCTCGCTTTCTCAATACAACCTTCGTTGGCAGCACCATCCTTGCTGTTCTCCATGCAAAAAAAATCATTTCTTTTGTGGTACACTCAATTGCCAAATTTTCTTCCAATTGCTTGGCACATACAAGTGAGCATTATCTTTTACCTTCTCCATCATGAGCCGATTGGCTGATCTAACTATAAATCTATATCTCTTAGTCGCTCAACCTATCTGACCTATCTACTAGACAAGTTTTAGGCAATATTTTAACAATTTTTTTACTGAATGGAGGATGTATAAGCATACATCTTCGAATTTTGGTGTTGCTAGTTTTGGTTTGTATTTTTATCAATAAAACAATTCTTAAATGTTGGATCGATATGCTAAAACAACCAAAGTTTATTTATAATTTTGAGAATTCACACCATGAAAAGTGTGTAGAACTTACATATTTATAGACACCGAAAAGGTGCCATCAAACCATCGCAATGGTTCGCCAATGGAAGTGTTGTTTCATGAACAATCACATCTTTTCGTGAACAATCACACCTCTTCGTTAATAACTACCTATATATACATACTATTTTAAATGGAGATTAATCTAACATTCACCCCCTTAATCTCGATTGTGTTGAACAAGATCTTTAACTCCAAGTAGTTGCCTCATAGTGGCGAATCTTATCCTTGGAAGTGGCTTTGTTAGAATGTCAGGTCGTTGTAGTTCTCCCTTGATGTGTTCAACAACTAGGTCTTCTTTTTCAACACATTGTCGTATGAAGTGATACTTTCAATGTGTTTGCTTCTTCCATGAAACACTGGATTCTTCATCAGTGCTATTGCAGATTTGTTGTCCACGTAGATAGTAATCTTTTCTTCCTTCGTATCAGTGATTTTGCTAAGTAGTCTCTTTAACCAGAGAGCTTGTGTTGCTACTGTTGTTGTCGCAATAAACTCTAATTCACATGAGGATAAAGTTATTGTTCCTTGTTTCTGAGTACTCCAACTGATAGGTGAATTTCCAAAGTAGAAAATTATACCAGTTGTGCCTTTACCTTCATGTGTGTTAACACCGTAACTGTTATCGATGTATCCTTGTATCTTGTTTCCTCCTTCATGCCCATAAGTTATACCATAGTCCTTAGTTCCTTTGATATAACATAACGCTTGTTTGATTTCTTTCATATGTTGCTCCTGTGGGTCTTGCATGAAACGACTAAGTAATCCAACTGGAAAACTTAGGTCAGGTCTTGTGTGAAGTAAATATCGTAGACATCCAATTAGGCTTCGATATTCGGTGGCATCTACAGATCTTTCATCCTTTACTTTAGTAAGTTTAAGACCTGGTTCCATAGGTATCTTTGCTTCAATGCAATCTAACATACCTGTGTCACTGAATATCTTGTTTGCATAACTAGTTTGTTTTATTGAGATTTCACCCCCTTTCTGAATAACCTCAATACCAAGATAATACACAAGTAATCCAAGATCACTCATTTCGAACTTCTTCTTCATCTGATCCTTGAAAGTTTCAATCTCTTTCTTTGAACTTCCAGTAACTATCAAGTCGTCAACATAAACTCCAATCAATAGTGTTGATGTCTTGTTTGCTCTTGTGTACACTGCTTGTTCTAATGCACATTTCTTGAAATCGATTATCTTCAGTGTGTTATCCAACTTGGTGTACCATGCTCGTGGAGCTTGTCTTAACCCATAAAGTGCTTTCATGAGTCTGTAGACCTTTCCTTTGTCTCCTTCTTTTATAAAACCTTCAGGTTGTGAGACATAAACTTCTTCCTTTACTTCGCCTTGCAGAAATGCTGATTTTACATCCAAATGATGTACTTCCCATCTATTGTATGCTGCTAGAGCCAATATTAATCATATTGTCTCTATTCGTGCTATTGGAGCAAAAACTTCATCAAAGTCTATGCCATGTTCTTGAATATATCTTTTGGCCACTAGTCATGCCTTATGCTTTAGTATTCTTCCTTCAGCATCCCTCTTTGTCTTGAATACCCATTTCAGACCAATTTCCTTATGATCCTTTGGTAGGCTAGTTAGCATCCAGGTATTGCTCTTGTTGATAGAATCAATTTCTGCTTTCATAGCTTCAATCCATTTATCGTCCTTAGTCGCTTCCTTGAAGTTCCTTGGTTCGTCTTCTACCAGTAATAACTCCTCTGACCTAGCGTATACATCACTTAAGGGCCTATAACCTCTTACAGGTGTATGATCAATTCTTGAATCTGCTGTAGAAGGTGTATCAGTTTTCGACTCTGGTGAATTGATGGTGAGTTGTTGTGGGCTATCTTCATGAGTAAATATCTGAGAATTGGGTGTAGTAGGTACTTCTTCATCTAAGTCATTGTTACCATGTGTAACATCATTCTMAAATTCTTCACTTTCATTTGAGATAAGCTGAGTATCAGGTGTTTCATTATTCCCTATAATGAAATCAGTCCATTCTGGTCTGTCTAGATTAAAATCTTTAGTAAATTCCTCCCAATTCCATGTCTTGTCTTCTTTGAATATTACGTCCCTACTGACGCAAATTTTATTCCTTATTGGATCAAATAGACGATATGTTTTTGATCCTGGCTCATTGCCTAAGTATACCATTCGTATACTTCGATCGTCTAATTTAGTCAAGTGTTGTGAAGGTACCTTTGCATATGCGATGCAGCCAAAAACCCTTAGATGATGTAGACTTGGCTTCCTTCCTTTTAATGCTTCATATGGAGTAATGTCTTCAAGTGACTTTGTTGGTGTGCAATTTAATATCAGTATGGTATGTCTAACTGCTTCTGCCCAAAAGTTCTATGGCATGTTTGTCGCTTTCATCATGCATCTTGTTACTGAAAGAATTGTCCTATTCTTTCGTTCAACTACTCCGTTTTGTTGAGGTGAGTATGGTGCTGTAAATTGCCTTGAGATGCCATTATCTTGTTACTCTGTCTGTTCTAAACATCTTCAACTTGAGCCTAAGTTCATTTTCCACCTTTGGTTTAAATTCTTTGAAGATCCCATAAGCCTGATCTTTTGAGTCTAAAAAGTATTCCCACATATATCTTGAGTAGTCATCAATTAGAAGGAATATGTACCTTTTGCCGGTTGGTGTAGGTGGTGATATTGGACCACACAAATCTCCAAACACCAAATCCAACGGTGCCTCTGACCTTGAATTCGTATGTTGTGGAAACAAAGTTCTGTTGTGCTTTCCTATCTTATGTCGCAAATGTCTGCCGTATACTTAGTGCGAGGTAATCCATAAACTAATTTCTTTGAAACCATTATCTTCATTGAACCAAAGTTCAGATGGCCCAGTCTCGCATGCCATAACCATGCTTTGTTATGTAGGTTGGCTAATAAATAGATGGGTTTGCCTATTCTGAGATTGCCTTGTATAGTCGATTCTTTGATCATATGACCCTTAGTAGAATGTTGTTGCTTCAATCATATAGTGGTAACAAATCCTCTTCCATGACTACTTTGCAACCATTATCTGTCAATTGACCAAAGTTTAGTATATTACTCTTAAGACTTGGAATGTAATATACCTGTGAAACGACCCGTTGTTCTTTATTTTTGCATTCCAACAGTATGGAACCTTTTCCTTTGATCTTTACGTATGATCCATCTTCGAATCTTACGTTCCCGGTAATCTTCTTGCCAATCTCTTTGAAATGATCTTTAACTCCCGTTATATGATTGCTTGCTCCATTGTCTAAGTACTATAGACTTTTGTCATTTAAAGTTATCTTGCTTACTTCGAGATTCCTTTCGTTCAAGAGAACTTTCTGGTATTCTTCAATAGTTTCCATGAGTAGTGTCGGTTCTAAGTCTTCTTTAATGAGATTAGAGTGTTCCGGTTCTTGATCCTTTTCTGGACATCTTGTTGCATAATGTCCATGCTTCTTGCACTTGAAGCACTGTACTTTACTTTTATCAGGAGTAAACTTCTTTGTATTACTGATAGTTTCTTTCTTGAAACTATTTTGTGAGGGTTCCCAGTTCTTCCTTTCTGATATGAATCTGTTATATCATCGGCCTCGTGATTGATTAAATCTGCCACGACCACGTCCTCTGAAAGGTTGGCCTCGGTGTTCATGTTGTGTGAACATCAATCCTTCTTGAGTTTCCACGATTATTTCCTTATTGAATTTCAATCTTTCTTCAAAAGTCTTTAGTCTCCTGATTGCTTCGTCTAGAGACATAATATCTAGGTCCGAGTATTGTTCAATAGACGCGACAATATGGAGAAACCGGTCGGGTACGACATTTAGTAACTTCCGTACGAGAGTGGAATCTTCATATGTCTGTCCCAGGCTTGCTGCTTTATTCATAATACCCGTTAATTTTGAAGTGAATGAATCAATCGTTTCATTTTCTTTCATCTGTAACTTCTCAAATTCCGTCTTGAGAGTTTGTAACCTTGCCTTTTGGACACTGCTGACACCAATGTGTCTTGTTTTCAATGCATCCTAAATTGCCTTTGCATTTTTGTATTTTGAGATGAGAAACAGTTGATCTTCTGGAAGCGATTGATAGAGATACGTAATAGCGTTCTTATATCTTTTCTCATCGGGTTTTGTTGATGATTGTGGTTCAATTGCGTCCCAAAGGCTATTTGCTTCTAGTATAATTTGCATTTGAATTGCCCAAGTTGTATAATTTGTTGAATTTAACATTGGACATTGAAAATGGGTACTAGGACTCATTTCCTTGCAAATTTTAGAATTTTCTCCTTGATCTTTGTTTTCTTTCCCAGTCATAATTTTGAAATAATTCTAATGAATTTTATTTCAAGTATTAAAAAATATTTTAGTAATAAACTTGTTAGACCAAAATAAAATAAACTTATATTAATTTGGCTAATAGTGATATTTACTAAAAATATAAGGGTTTCTTTAAAATAACAAAGTGGGTTTTATTTTATAAAGGGAAATTTAAAAGTATAGGGAAAGAGGCGTACGATTACAAATTGAAAAGAGGTGTCGATTCCTCTTTCTGGTTCGATGGTGGTTTCCTGACTTTTCAAGAATCGCACCCTTCTTCTTTGCTTTTATCGATCAGAGATTTCGAACCCTGATTTCGATCTGGTTTGGTCCGATTTTGGTTGAACAATTGATCTCCTATTGAGTGTTCTTTGATGGCTACGCTTACTGTGTTTTCTGCCTATGATCGATTGAACAATGGTTTCCTACCGATTGTTCTTATCGGAGACGCTTGCTGCATTTTTCTGCCTGTAATCGATCGAACAATGATTTTTGTTGATTGTGCTTGTCGGCAACGCTTGCTGCGTTTTCTGCCTGCGATCGACTATGCTTGATGGGTACCGATTAGGGCTTGAATCCCTTTCGTCAGATTTTGGTGCCAGAAGGTGGTAGATTTCTTCTGGATTTCGGCCGCCCTGGGTATCCCCCTGAGATTCTGATTATCCCCAAATGATTGAATGAGATGGTGGATTAATCGTTAATCTCTAGCAGTTCCAGTGACTCTCTCCTTTTCTCTCTTTCGATTTCTCTCAAGGTAACTGGTAGATGATGAGAAGACTTTGGTTGAACGAACCCAAAGTTCTGATACCAAATGTTGGATCGATATGCTAAAACAACCAAAGTTTATTTATAATTTTGAGAATTCACACCATGAAAAGTGTGTAAAACTTACATATTTATAGACACCGAAAAGGTGCCATCGAACCATCGCAATGGTTCGCCAATGGAAGTGTTGTTTCATGAACAATCACATCCTTTCGTGAACAATCGCACCTCTTCATTAATAACTACCAATAACTACCTATATATATATATACATACTATTTTAAATCGAGATTAATCTAACATTAAATACATCTTTCTTCTACAGGCTGCTGTTATACCAATTAGGCATTGGTAGAGCCTAGTTTTGGTGTTGATGGATAGGTGTTGTTTGATCTACTTGCTGAGAATAATGAATATCATCAATGGAATGAATTGGTGTCACTCAATACAGTTCTATAGTAGAAGGTCCAAATAAATGAAATTGCTTGCTAAGAAGTCAAGACTACTAACCATTAGGGCCACACATTGGCTACTAGAGCTAGATCTTTTATGTTTGTGTGACTTTAAGAATTATAACATGTATATCTCTTATCATATGCAATAATCAAAGTTGCCATATAGCAGTTGTTTGATATCTAACATGTTATCTACAATATTTATGCCCAATGTATGATGTTTGAACAAAATACATGACAAAGTATTTTTCTGCCTATTCTATGTTAATTTGTTTATACTTTCTCCCAAGTTGTCATCTTACATTGTCTTTCTGACTATGTGGTAGTGAACTAGGGTTAGTGAATACAGCGGCTCATGTCACTTCGTATGTTGTTGCTGATTTGGTATGAAAGTGCATCTTTAACTATATATCTTTTGAAACAATATATGACCAAAAGAGCATGTTTAAGTACCAGGAGAATCTAGTTCTAATGCATGTTGATTTAATGGCGCAGTATGGCATCAAAGTCTTTGTACTCACATCATTCAAGGACACAAGCCATATTGAGATTGTTCCAAGTGCTTAAAGGTCAAATTGAGGTATTATCATAAAGTGTTCAATTGTCCAAATCATCTTCGATCAAAGACATTCGTAGGTATTATCATAAAGTGTTCAATTGCATGTTGATCAAGATTTTGAGTTTATCTCCGAATGCAAAAAGGCTTTTAAAATTATCAAAACAACTCTTG